CCGGGTCGCTCTGCGCGCCGGGCGGGGGGGCCGCGGTAACGGCGCTCCCCGGGGTGTGGGCGGCACTCCCCACACAGCAGTCCGGCGGCAGCGCCGGGGCTGGGCGCGTGGGCTTGTTCCTGCAGAAAGCGCTTGTCAGCAGGGGAGGGCAGCAGCTCGGCAGCCAGCTCGGCCCACGTGACTGTTTATTCTCACTCCCTCTGAAAAGATCTTACCCAGGGGAGCGAGCTTAGCAGCGCGCAGCCAAAAGTCATGCCCACTTAGCCCCGCGCAGCCCGGAGAGGAGCAGCCGCCTCGGGCCTGGCTCCCATGTCTCAGCGGGTGGAGGACCAGGTGAGGGTACCGCCTGGGGCTACCGGACTGTACCGAGCAATGCTGGTCAAATCAGGTAAGCACCCGTGCCGCTGGCAAACGGCTCCCTGGGGCAGCATCACAAATTTGATCCTCTGGCAACGTCCGTTCGCCTTGCTGGTGCGCTTCCCTGGGGACGGCTTTGACAGCACATAGGCGAAGTCTTGCGGGACCTCTCCTGGGTGGGGCTGCCTCAGTTTCCCTGATGGCAACACTCTGCACCACACACCGGTTGATTTAAGGGGTTATTTTACAGCTAGTTCTAAGCCAGGCCAGTCCCTGGACATCTCTTTCTTTTAAGCCTTTTTGAACCTCTCCAAAGGGCTCTGTAGGCCTCTGAGAGCAACCCCATGCTGGAACTCGAATGTTCGGTGCCTGGTGGAAGAGGCTAGGTGCTCATGAAATCCCTGCTGCTTTGCAGATTGTTCTCCATCAGTATCTTCGAGCTCCCTACAAATATTTGCTGGTGATCGGGGCAATGGGTTTGGGTTTTTTCTCAGGCGTCTGCCAAAAGCAGGGAGCAAATACGTGATGCTTTATCAGTAGGGAATGGGTGGTTAGCAACAAAATGTGAGATTTGTAGGCATCTTTCACTTCTTCCCAACAATAACTACGCGGATGCGCTGGCAGTAATTAGCAATATGTACGTCGCGAGAGAATTCTTCTATGCCCAGGAACCATTTCCATAGCAAGGACCCAAAACTCTGCCGTTGTGGCTTTGCCCGCTCCTATTGAATACCTAGAGCGGCATGTTTTTGTAAGTGCAACGCGCCTGGCATTTCTGAAAGGCATTTCACTGAGACAGCTTGTTAATTGTTAATCGAGGCAGGGATCCAAGAACTGTCATGTGTATTTAACTGTCACAATCAAAGACGTTTTCAGCTCAGTTGTTAACTGATTTGCCAGATTTCACCTGCTTCTGCCGCAGAAGAGATTGGGCTGCAGGGGTAACGTTGGGAGCAGGTTCGAGCGTAGCTGAAACGCTGTCAGAGGTGTATGAATTGGAAACGCCTTCTAACGCAGCTTGCCGGAGAAGAGGGCTGTTTGTCTCACTGGGAGCATTTCATTATTGCCCGTTCTACTGACCCCCTCCGCGGCACTGGGCATTGGCCACTGTCTGCAGCCAGGACGCGGGGCTGGATGGGCCTTTGGTCCGACCCAGCCTGGCCGCGCTGATGGTCTTCTGTCCTGGAGGACTTAGCTCGTGTGCAGGTTTGGAGCACTCCCTAGTGTCACCGCTAACCCTTTGGGATTGGAAGGTGTCCGTACTGGGAGCTTAGGTTCTCGCCAGCCAGTGGTAGCGGCAGGTTCTCAGTGGGCACCGGACGCTTCTGTGTTTCACGGCTGTAAATCCACAGGGACCCCATTGTGACTTTCTCCCAACTTAATTTGCAACAGTGCAGAGGACAGCAGCATGTGTCCCTGCATTTCCAGGAACAGAGCTAAGCGTTGTGATTGGGCGGGTACGGGGGAATTTAGGGAGCGCCAGCACTCGGATGCCATGAAGGGGTGTGTCACTCCAGGGGGGCTGCGTGGCTCTGGGGCTTGGTTTTTGCGTGGGAGCCTTTGCCTTTCACAGCTGGTTACTGGATGGACCATGCGTAGATCAGTGGTAACCAGAGTTCCCTGGAAGCTGGGTGTTTGTGCTCAAAGTCAAATCCCACCCACCTGACTAACAGAGAGCCCACAGCTAAGTTCTGGGTTTCTGTGAGTGGTGCACATGCCTCAAGTGCACATAAAAATTATTCCACACACTAATGGGAAAAAATCCGCACCTGGATTGAAAAGATTAGAGGGAACATTGCTGGTAACCCAGAGATGTTGCCGCCTGAGAGCTGTTGATCTACATGGACATGAAGGGTGGGGTCTCCTCCCAGTAGGTGGGCAGCCCCCGCCCCAAAGCTGACACTTTCGGGGGCGCTCAGGACAGCTCACACTACAGCTGGCTGTGCTGCATGTGCTCTGTGGACAGAGCTCTCCGTCCCCCAGCGTGGGCAGCCTGGTAGCCGTCACCAGCCCCACGTTCAGAGAAGAAGAGATAGGGCTGTAGAGATTTGGCAAGCAATGGGCTAAGTCACACAGGGGAGGCCCCAGGCCCGGGCGGAGTGGGACCCTCTGAAACATTTCTTGGATGTTCTTGGCCCTGAATCCAGCTTCGTGAACACAGTGAAAATCCAGCTGGCGGGAGGTAACGGGGCGGTGGAATACAATTGTGAGCAGGTGCTGCTGGCAAGATTGCTTTGCTCTCCCCCGGCAGCAGTGTCCCCCACAACCGGCCGTGTTCTTCGCCCTTCTTCCCGTCCTCCGCCAGCGGTCCCCAGAGCCATTGCCTTTGCTAGATGAGCGCAATACGTCCAGGTACAGACCAGTTCCTTACGGCCTGCAAGTGCACCCCCGGCACCGGCTCTGCACGACATGGGGTTGTGTCCTGGTAACTGTTCCATACAGGGGAGGGCCCCAAAGTCTCTGCAGCCCCCAGTCTGTCATGCCCGTCGTGTCTCCTTTCTGCTCCTGGTGTGGCGCCCGTGTTCGCGGCTCTGTCCCTGGATTTCAGGCCTGGTCACAGCCGAGAGAGGCTGCGGCGTGCGCGGTCCCTGCTCTCGTCCCCAGAGCCAGGAATCCTTGACCACGTCCGCTGCCAGGCGCCCCCTTGCATTCTAATGACTAGGATTAGGCTCGGTTAATTATTTGAAGCTCTGGCTTCCAGGGGTTTGTGCCTTTCTTTTGGAGCAGGTCCTCTCGCTCCTCAGAGCTGTGACTGCCCAGCCCCAGGGCGAGGGCAGGGGAGGGGGACGTCTGCCCGGTCTCAGAGCAGAGCCGGCTCCACGCCCGGAAAAGTCGCACGTGCTGCCTCCGCGGCAGAGCCGGAGAACCCGTGAGGTTAAAGAAAACTCCTAATTGGCATGCCAGCGCTGCTCTGAGAGGGGGGATCGTTAGCACCGGCCAATCGTAGGGCTTCCTGGCTGCCAACGGTAACATCCAACCCCACCGCAGACACTAACCATACAGTCAAGTTGTCATTTTGTCCCAGCAGTGATTTTCGTAATAATGAGACTCTAAGCCAGGGGTTCCCAAGCTGGGGTACACGGCCCCCCGGGGGTACGAGAAGCTCGTCAAGAGGGCACGGGGAATATCTGATAAATGACTAGATTATCCTAATTGAAATATTCCAAAAGTAGTCGTGTTAGTGAAAAAAGTGGATTCTAGAGTCTAAAATTTATTTCCTTTCCTATTGCCTAGGGGGTACGGGAAGGTTTACTAAAAGCCAAGAGGATATGGGGACTGAAAAAGGTTGGGAACCCCTGATCTTAACGGACACTGCTCTGAATCACGGACTGTAGATTTGGCCCTTCGAAAGCATCTGCCTGAGGGATTTCCAAAGACCACTGACTCTCAGAGTACGTCTAGACTACATGCCTCTGGCGCCAGAGGCACGTAAATTAGGCTACCCGGCATAGGAAAACGAAGCGGCGATTTAAATAATCACCGCTTCATTTACATTCAAATGGCTGCCACGCTGAGCCGATCAGCTGTTTGTCGGCTCAGCGCGCTAGTCTGGACGCTCCGCGGTCGACATCAAAGGCATTTGTCGACCTCCCCGGCATGCCTCGTGGGATGAGGTTTACCAGAGAGGTCGACAAATGCCTTTGATGTCGACGGCGGAGCGTCCAGACTAGCGCGCTGAGCCGACAAGCAGCTGATCGGCACAGTGCGGCAGGCATTTTAATTTTAACTGATCCGCACAGCGCGGCAGCCATTTTAATTTAAATGAAGCAGCGATTATTTAAATCGCCTCTTCATTTTCCTATGCCCGGTAAACAAATCTACGCGGCTCCGTCAACGGAGCCATGTAGTGTAGACATACCCTCAGGTAGATTCTAGGATGCATTCACAGTTCTGCATTTGGCTCTTGTCTTAATCTACTGGTGGGAAAAAACAAAGTCCCTTTTCCTGGGGGTTGGGAAATTCAAGCGGATTGGGCCTCTTCAGCATTCAAAACGCTTCTTACTTGAAGCCAGGATCTTATTAATTTGCTGCAAGACACATATTCCCCCGGCTAAAGACTACAAGCTGTGCTGCTCATAACAGGAAGAACCGCAGATGGGGCAAGTCGATTGCGTCTCTCTGGTTAGGAGCCTTTAGCCAATCTGACTCGGGTCTGGGCGGCTCCTGGCACAGCGTCCCGGCTTTCAGAGAAGCGGTGACAGTTTTCTCTAGCTGCAGACCTTCCCCAAAGACCTTCCTACACGAATGACAAAGCAACGAGAACTCCACCAAACAGAAACGCATGACAGATCCGCGCTTCCTTTGTCTTTGCGGAACGAAAGTCCAAACGAATACCTGTCGCTTTCCCACACTATCCGATTGTACCAAAGTCACTGTGCAGGTCACCAACGTCAGGACACAGGCCGAGAGCTCTGAGACGTGGTAACGTGACTTGTGCCGGGTGGGTCCAGGAGGCTGCGGGGGGGCTCAAAGCTGGCATGGCTTCCCCCGGGTAATGGCAGGTCGAAGCTGTGCCAAAGGGCCACCTGAGGAATGTTCCTGTATCTTTTCGGCCTTCGTGTGGCTTGGGTACAGGACGCTGGGTTACAGAACAGCCTCCTCCGAAATATTCCAATCTTATCTCCTCTTAGTAAAGTAAAATGTAATCATCTGCCTAGCCACGGGGTTCTGCTGCAAGCCCAGGGACCATGGCTCGGCTCGGCTCGGCTCGTTCTTTAGGGTGTGCGTCCGGCAGGGTAGCTAGTGCTCTCGCGCTGCATGGCGCCGAGCCAGCGCCGACGGCCCGTTGACGAGAATCGCCTTTGGCTCAGGCCCAGAGATTGCCTGGGGCACCGTCTGAGCCCCGTGCCCCTGGCTCTGTGGGCAGGTGCCAGTGGCGGAGCCGAGGGCCCGCGGGGAGCCGGGTGCGCAGACGGGAAACGTGGCTTTGCTCAGCGCCCGGGCAGGGTTTCCGAAGGGTCACGCGGTCTCCCTACAGCGTCAGTGTTACGCTTGGCCCTGGGGTCTGCCTGGGAACCTGTGTGCTCTCCA